TTGCTTTCCTCGCGAGCGACCGCGAGTCCATCGGTCGAGTCTAATTTAGGAATAAATCGGAATCGGTCGAACGAATTGTCCACGACATTCGTGTCCTCCGTCATTTTCACGCGACGCGTTTATCTTTAAATCTTCGCGCTGTTTGGTTCCGATGGAAATCACCTGGATTCATCCCGAACATCCCTTAAGCGTATATCACGCGCTGAATGTTGCATCTCGCATTGTTAAACTCTAATTCAAAGTGGGAATTAACGGGCGGCAATAACATAAAGCAGCGGCGGATGAAGGATATTCCTATTGGCGCGAATAAAGAATCCCCCGGCGATGGAATTATGTTCGTTCGTTAAACTTCCATACGATTAAGTTACGTTTACAGCACGGTTTGTCCGGTGGCGCGTGAAATTTCGACGTTACTAAATCAACGGGGGTGTCTTCGATAGCGTCCAATCGATACCCGAATTACCGGGAAATCCGCTTTCGAATAAATACCATTAACGATTTCTTTTCGCCCCGGCGAGGCAAAGGTGCCCGAAGATTCGATTCACCGCCACTCGAGTCGCCATTGTATCCCCGTGAGAGGCTCTCAACGGCATCCGGTTACCTCGACTAACCGTCTCGATTTTTCGCCGATCAGCTTGTTTGCTAATTTCTCCAGAGCTAAAAGCCAGCAAACACGAGCAGTTATTTCGGAAGCAACGCTTAATTTACCCCGACGAGAGAATCTAGATTACCCTGCCGGGGCGGATTCGAGCGCGTGAGGTCAATTTCGCTGGTCTACCGGTCGGTTAATTTGCCCTCGCGCTGGCAACGGCCGTGTCTCCCGGCGTAACCGCGCGTTGCTTGGCGGACGCCCAAAAGTACGGCACGAAAGTGAAAAGCGTTTTTGCGGCTGCACGCGTGCAACCGTTAAATTCGCTAAATTCTAAAAGCCATTTCTTTTCGAGTATCGCGAATTACGAATCCCGAAAAAGTCCCGAATTTTCCGTTTTAACCTCGAGCGTCCTCCCCGAGTACCATCGATCGCGATAATTACGGAAAATTGACTTTTAAATTACGCCTGACCCAAAACAAGTTGTCGCTTTGAACTTTTATACATATACGGAGAGATGCTGTTTGATTGGCAAATATAAAGAATAAGGGATGTTATTTTATTCCAAAATATATACTTCTTACGAGCTAAATGAGACTAGGAGCAAAGTATAAACTAAAAGATTAGAGCGATATCTGATCTATGACACTCTTATGTCAACTCTCTGTAAAAATTACGCAAGGGACTGTTTAAAGATTCTATCAGAATTCCATCAAGACTCTCTAAAGAACTCCCTGAAGACTGCCCTTGCACCCTTATTTGAACCTAACTGTCGATCATTTATTTCTCACGCGATCTGACCCTCGGTGGTGGGCCATGTACCCCAAACACTCTGACGTATTCCTAACTTTTGCTCATTGTTCGCACTTGGTACAGTCATAAACATCCCCTCGATACGACCCTTGCATGTCGTCACTTCTGTTCTTCCAAGTGTACTCCAGATAGCACCCTGAACATTCGATCTGAACCCGAGGCTGCTGTTTATTATCCATCACCAGTCAGGTAGACCCAAGTGTTGCCATGCTCTCACTTTGGAACCATAAAAATATCCTACATATATATCCTAAGAGCATGGAAGGAGCGTTTGTGGACTAAATGTGGATCACGAGACGACTATTCGACGATGTTTTATTGACTGTCAGTTGACCGTTTTCTTTCCGCGAGTGTGACAGGAGGGCACCTATTTTTCTACAGTGACAGCTTCCTCGCGAGCGAGCCAGTTCGTTGTCCCCGCCTATGTATAACACCTTGGCTAAAGATACTTCGACTTATTTCTTTTACACGGAAGAATTCGAATCACTTGGAATACGATCCAAGAGTCCCGATAGATTTTTGGCAGTTTCCAGGGTTTCGATGGCTGTCATCGTTCTACAGTGACAGCTTCGTCGCCCTCGCCAATGTATAACATCTTGGCTAAAGATACTCCGACTTATCCCGCTTACAATATGTACTTGGAAGAATTCGAATCACTTGGAATACGATTCGACACACGGAGCTTTCGAGAGTCCCGATAGATTTTTGGCAGTCTCGAGGGTTTCGATGGCAGTCCTCGTGTAATAAAATTCCGAACACGAGCAAGGACAAGGAGCAAGAGAGAAAGAGGAGATTCGAGTGTCGAATCGATCACGTTATATCGTGGAACCTGATGTCTCTCGATTCTATTATACGAGAACTGCTATCGAAGCTCTCGAGACTTTCGAAACGTTGGATACTTTGGAGACTCGAGACCCGGGAATCTTCGTATCCGAAAAG